AATGGCTTGATACCCTCAGGACATGGTTTCTTCCACGTTCAATGCTGCATCTGATATCGTGCAGGAATCTGCTTTTTTGTTTTGTTTACTTGGCTAACTTCTGATTGTGACTACACTTCACTCTGTTTTTTGTTCTGTTCATTATGCCTGCCAGAATAGCCGGTTTTTCACCATGTCCTGGAGGTGCGGGCGGGTAGGGTAGAGTTTCCTTCTTTTCATGAGCTGAATGTTTGCACTTGGATGCCCTAGTCAGCCTTTCCCAGCACCTGCTGCTTCTTTGGCTAAGGTTCCCTGCTCCTGACTTAGGTGTGTTCAAGTCTTCTGATCTCTGCATAAGGTGATCAAACCTGTAACATGTCCCGTCCTGCCTCTGAAATAGCTGATCTATTGCTTCATAGACAGGTCATGATAGCGTAGTGAGATGTGATTTTTGTTTCACCTCCTTGGACACCCTCTTATGTACTCTGGAAAAGAGAATCTGGATCGCCTCCACCTTGGTGTTCACTGCTTTGCTCAGCTGAAAGACACACCACATGCTCATATCCAACCATCTGACGGTTATAAGAATCAATCGTCATACAACACAAGTGCTTATTCATACCACTTATAAGGCCCTACAAATAAGAACGTCTGTGTGTATGTGTCGAAGCGTTCTGTGATAAACCAGTGATGTATGTGGATTGATTTTAAATTAGATATGAACTTAATAAATAGATCTCAAATAATCTTCAACATATTCATTTAATTTTCAAATTAATTTTTAATCTACAGTTTTATAAGAATCAATGAACATACAACGTAAGTGTATTCTCATAAAGGTTGTAAGGCCCCACGAACAAGCACATCTTTGTGAAATGCGTTGAGATGCTCTGTGATAAACCAGTGATGTATATGGTTTTAGTTTAAATTAGATGTGAACTTAATACAGTAAATAAATCTCAAATAATCTACTACATGTTAATTCAATTTTCAAATTCATTTTTAATCTGCAGTTTTATAAGAATTAATTTACCATACAATAGAAGTGCTTATTCATAAAGTTGATAATGCCTTATGAATAAGCATGTCTGTGTGAAACGCATCAAGTCATTCTGTGATGAACAAATTATGTATGTGGATTGATTTTGAATATATATGTGAACAATAGGGATGCACAGATACTTTTCGAGTACCAGTACAGATACTTGGCATTTTCATGAGAACTACCAGGGTTGCAGGGGTTGCAGCTGGGACCTGGCTCTGGCACTCCACCACTGTCCTGAAATCATTAGTCTGTATTGTTTTTGAAAAACTGTCACATGACAATAAACAAAAATGTATCAGTACTCGTACTTGTAAGTACTCGGCAAGTACCAGTACTCGTACTCCCAAAACTGGTATCTGTGCATCCCTTTATTTATATTTATTAAAACAAAATCATACATTAAAACAGAGATGTACAAATCACAGGAGCTCCGTGTGCTCCTTACAAATGACAGCTGCCTCCTAATTTTTGAATTTTTCTCTAGTCTAGTCTTGGAGCTCAAAAGTATCGGTACATGTACTTGTATCGAGCACTGTACTTGGTATCTGTGCAACCCTAGTGAACAACATTAATATATCTCATTCAACATATTCCTTTATTTTTTTTAGATTCATTTTTCATCTACAGTTTTATAACAATCAATCAACATACAACAGAATGCTTATTCATAATGGTTATAAGGGGCTATAAATAAGCACGTCTGTATAAAACATGTCAAGGCTTTCTGTGATAAATCAATGATGTATGTAGATTGATTTTAAATTAGATATGAACTCAATAAATATCAAATAATCTTCAACATATTAATTTAATTTTCAAATTAATGTTTATTCTACAGTTTTATAAGAATTCATCAATATACAGTAGAAATGCTTGTTCATAAAGCTTATAAGGCCCTACAAATGAGCACGTCTGTGTGAAATGCGTAGAGACAGTCTGTGATAAACAAATGATCGATGTTTTTTTAGTTTAAATTAGATGTGAACCCAATAAATAAATCTTAAATAATCTACAACATATTCATTTTATTTTTAAAGTAATTTTTAATCTATAGTTTTATTAAAATCCTTCTGGGTAATCTTGCCTTGTTCAGGCACTTCCTGTTATAGGGTGACAATGCTCTGTCCCTGTTTCCCAATACCTCTCCTTCATTGCCACCAAATCACATATGTATGAAGGCTATAAATGGCCATCCCAATGTGCATTGTGCAGGCATTGTCCACTGTTTAGCAAGCTGCCCATAACAATGACAGGTAGCTGATGCACGTCGACAGGAACCAGCTGCAAAGAGGCTGGAGGAGATTAGCAGCACTCATTGGCAGTAAAAAGATGAAACAAGGTAAAACAATATATACCAAAAGAAAGAAAATGGCAATTGTTTTGATACACAGTGCATCAATTTAGGGCTTGCATGTATTTTAATAAACCTTCTGATGCCTGGATGTGATCAAGCGGCTCTTCCTTTTTTGACGTGATTTTCATCCTACTACTGTACTGTTGCCCAGTGTTAAAAGCATTGACATTCATTGTCTCTTTTCTCCCCCCCCCCCCCCCACTAAATGTGTCTACATTGTGGAGAGCATAATTGGAGCCTGTTTAAATGACCCAACCATGTGCAGCAATAATGGTTTCATTTGCTGCAGTGTCACTCTGCACATGAATATCTATCAGAAAATGATATGTCATACTATAAGATCCTGCTTGTATTCCTGGCATTTGTCTAAGTGATACAACACTTAGTCAACTGCAGTGTAAATAGGTTTTCTAAGTCATGCTTGTGCATCTGCTGCACTGTGTGGGTGTCTAAGTGGGGAATCTGGCACTGTGGGAGCCGTCACTCACAAGAGTGCAATAAATGAGTCAAACATTCACAAGTTTGATTTTTTTTTGTGACCTATCCTTCCCTGCCTTTACCCAGAGGGAGGTCATGCTTTGATGTGACTGAGTCATAAGCTCTTCTCTTTCCTTTCAGTGAGAAAGCATCTATCCTGGCACCAGTGGCCATTACACTGACTGCGTCTCACTATTAGCTACTGTTATGCGTCATTCTAACATGTTTGCATAACAAAAGAGCAGGACTACTTCAGACTGCATTTCTCTCCATTCCAGGGTATGTCTCTTCAAAGAACATGATTTGTCATTAAATAAAAAATGTAGTTTAAGCATAGACAACTTGTGTACCACAATACTGGATCAAAAACATAACTGAATGATTGTACATGCTCTCAAACACAGTCCAAGCTTATTTTGGTGCCTTTGTGCTGTTCCTGCAATTTAAAGCCCAACTCCAGCAAAATTCAATGTTTTCCCTTGCAGTGGGATTGCCCTGACACTCCAAGCGGTTGACTGCTAGTTTATGCCTAGGGGACAGGAAAAAACTGTTTTACTTGCCTGAACCCCACTCCCCCTGACTCCCTCTGAGATGCTAGACTTTACCCCCTGGGATGCCAGACTGATCCCCGCACTGGCAATCTAAGGAGCACCAACATCATCAAGTACAATGCAAACTCTATCACCCCACATTGTGTGAAGACTCCTTCCTGGGGGAAATCCACAGCCGATGTGGTTGCTGCATTCGTTTTTTGTCTTTCTTTGTGTTTGCAGGCTTTTTTCCTTTTGTTTTTAACTGGTGATAACGCCAGTAACACACTTTGTGTCCTAGGATGACAACATTCCCTCCTAAGCTGTATATACAGAGGGGCAGCATTGTCGCCCTAGGCTGATTTGGACTACAGAAAAACTCACTTTCTAACATCCATAACATTGGGAGGACTGTAGAGTTGAACTAGCCAGGCCTAATAACACTGCTTGAGATTTCAGTGCAGCAGAGGCAGCAAGGACAGGAAGTTAAAAACCAACTGTGTTTCCGGCAGGACCAACAGGTATTTTTCTACACTTCTAAAGAAGAAATAACAAAATATTTTCAATTATATATTTAACAGACCAAAAGGAAGAAAATAAGAGAAGTTAATTGTTAGGGTAAATATACCGCACTATTAAATTTGTTCTCATAATAAAGTCATTAAATTAATTGTAAGTAATTGTAGCGGACACCACATTGTGTCTGTGTTTTTTTCTCAATGTCAATAAGTCAATGGGCATGTTACTTGAAATCTCTTGGTCTTATTGACTCCCTAATAATATCTGTCTGAAAAAAGTGCATGGATCTTAAAGTATCTTAAAGGAACTTTATCCATATCTTCAAAATAACAACAAATAAATGTTTAGTAATGACAATCTACAAACAGATACTTCTAGATAATTTATGTTCTTTGTATACCTTATTTTTCTTTTCATCCCCATTCTTCTCACAGCGATCATTTTAACTAAGGGCAGATTAATATATCTCCCTTTACTTCTTGGAACTCTAGCACATGTGACTAGGACATGGGACCATACTTATCATCTAAGGGGAGGAAAATGCCTTTCCCTGGGATCTCCTGAGATTACAGATGAGATTTCCGAGCAATGCTCTGATGATGTAACCTTCACAGGATGCAATGCTTGGGCACGATTACACCATATGTGCTAAAGTGTACCAGGAAGTAGAAAAAAGAAATTGTAAGTCAAATAAAAATATGTTTGTTTAGCTAATGAATGTGAGACGATTTTACATCAGCATGTAGAGCTCTATGTTGATGTGAACTTTAGTCAAAGGGGGTAAAGGTCCACATTAAGGTGAAAACGACTATTGGCATTGTATTTTGTTGTAATTTCAGGAGTTCAATTTCAGGAGTGTCTTTACACAAGTAGAGCTACCAGGTTATACAGTCACAATACATTGACTCAAGGAATGGTGTGTACTCTTAAACACTGTAGCACTGAAATAATATTGCAGACTTCCAGCTGATAAAGAAAAGCTTTTGTGACCCTAGGATGTCACAACCTTATCTTATTTGTACTTAGAGGCTCATGCCATGGTTTTTGATGAGATGTTGATATGATATAACATCAGCCCTTTTTTTTTTTATCTTACAGTCATGTGGAGAAAATTACAACATGGCAAGACCCCCGGAAGACAATGACACAGCCAATGACTCACATGAACCACCATTCTGTTACCACCTCCACCCCAATAAGCCAAAGATCACTGGCGATGTCCCAACCCAACCTTGGTATGTACTTTTCTTGATTATTGACCATAATAATTATCTAGTAGTTACAGAACTTCTACATGTAGACTTCTTACTGGTTCTGGAATCTATCATTCAAAAGGCTTGCCTGCTTTTATACAATAAAAGTTTAACATTCTGCTGTGATCTCTGGTAGCCCACTGATATAGCCCATTTCACCCTGTATAGCCCATTTCACCCTGTATAGCCCATTTCACCCTGCAGGAATGGCAGCAGCAGTACTCAATACATCTAGTTCTATTAAGTAGAGCTCTTTGTCAGCGAGATCATTTAATGGCTACATCGCCTAAAACTTGCCATAAAAGTGATCCATCCCGTTGCAGTTTCTTTAGAAATCAAGCAAGTGGAAGACCCCATGTGCTTTGCTGCATTACAATACAGTGCATTTTGCATATTTCCAAGGAGACAATAAGGAGTAAGGTAGATGCCCCATTTCAACATGTGCACTATACTTGTGCAGTCTGTACAGTCTGTTTCTCTAAGATTGTGGGGGCTATAATTAACCACAGTTCCTAGGGCAAGACACATGTGAGTGCTTGTCACAGACCACTTGCTTTATTCAGAAAGGCATTAAAAAGGTTCAGCAGCAGTGTAAAACATGATGTAACCCATAGCATTATTTAAGGAAAGCCTGGTCAAATCTTCCCAAAATCTTAGTGCCAGCTCCAAGTATGCTGTCTTCACTTTCCAAAGTAGCTTTATATACAATTCCCACACCTCTTAGCAGTCATGTTTGCAGATGCCCCTCCCCACATAACAGTCATATGTACAGTCTATGCCCCTCACAACGGTCATGTACTCTTCTCTTTACCCCTGCCCTTCCACACATATACATTTCTCTCCCTTCCATCATTGTTCTCTATGGTTGGAGGCTTAGGCTCCAGTGTCACCACTGGTAGTAAAATGTTACCACTATTCCTTACAATGGTCAGGCATTGTTGTAATGCTTTTTATCACCAATGATGTCTATTGTAAGAAATAGTGGTAATCATAAATCACAAAGTAGGATGGGAAATTGACTTTAAATAAAATGACAAAGAGCAAAGCGGAAGTCATATCCCATTTCATATCAGTGTGCAGCTCTGAGCTGTAGTGACTTTTCCAGTCACCATCATGACTTGGCAGCTGCAAGTTGTCCAACCAAGCTGTAAGGTATTATTATTATTATTATTATTATTATTATGCAGGATTTATATTGCACAGAACTTTACAATATAAGGAGGACAATACAGTTGCAATACAAATCAAGACAAGAAGGTAAAGCAAACAAATAATCGTAGTTAGTAGTAGTTAGAACGTAGTTAGTAGCAGAGTAGAGAAGAGAAAGGTCGAGGTGGCAGAGGTTTCTCCTGGTGACAGTGTGCCATGTGGGGCGATTTAGAGTTGGGAACAGGGCAAGTGTGAAACTGACAAGGTTGTGGTCTGAGAGGGGGAAAGGGGTGTTGGAGAGGTTGCAAGGAGTGCATTGGTGAGATAAAACAAGATCAAGTATGTTACCATCAGAGTGAGTAGGAGTGTTTGACCATTGTGTTAGATCAAAAGAAGGAGTTAGGTTAAGAAATTTAGTGGAAGCCGGGATGTTAATGTTATTGGCAATTAAAGTCAACAAGAATGATTGTGGGTATTGTTGTTTGTGGAGATTGTGGTATGTGGTATGATTGTGGAGGAGAGAAAGTAGAGTAGCCGGGCAGATAAGTAATCAAAAAAGCAAGATACCGGTCCAGGTGGCTGGTATATCACAGCAATCCTCAAATATATTGGAGAGAATAGGTGAATACAGGAGAGAGTGTTGTGGCGCTAGAAAGATTCCCACTCCACCTCCTGGTAGCAGGGGAGGCAGATTCCTGGAGCCAGGTTTCAGTAACTGCAAGCATGTCTAATGAATTGGAGATAAGAAGATTGAAGATTGTGCACAGCAGTGAGTTTGTTACAGACAGAGGCCATATGAGAAGGAAGGACCGGTTCTAGAAATCAGGGTGCGTGGATTGTGGCTGAAAGGCAGTGCTGGTTTTGAGGTGAGTATTCGAAAAGAGAGGGGCAGGATTGGGAGAGATATCCCCAGAAGTTAGGAGAAGCAGAAGGGTGAGTGAAGTGAGATGAGAGGGAGTTTTATATGAGTGAAAATGCCCCAGTGTCCTGGAGGTAAACCTAGCATGTGGATTCAGAATGAGCAGGAGGTGATGAGTGCAGTAATAGGGAGAGGGCAGGAGAGAAGGTGAAATACATAACTGTGGGGTGGAGAGGGGTGGTAAAGAAATTAGAGTTTAAGAAGAGAGGCCCAAATTGTGAGAAGCAATGGTAGGGAACACAAGTTAAGAGAGGAGAGTAGAAATCAGATTTCGGATTTTTACTAAAATCTTTGTCAGATATGTTCAATGTCTAACGGTGAGTGTGACCTCACCACCTGGCAGTGCAGAGGAAGTATGAGACAGTAACATTGTCCTTGATATTTATCCAAAAGGTGCTCCTACATTTTAGGATGGGCAATTCAAGACACCTATACTGTATGAGCTGTAATCTTATATGTTATCCAAAGGCATTCTGGGACAGAATAGACTTCATGCACCAGACCAGTGTTCATGGCTTGCTCTTGTCTGTAGGTTTCCAATAGTCAAATGTCACATACTTAACCACATATAAATTTATTTTGCGAGAGGGCCAAAGCACACCACGCCAACATTCTAGAAGAATTTTCAAGAAAATAATGAATAGAGCAGAGCAAGTTAAACTGCTTTCTTGGCGGGCACTTCGGAGACCACTTTGAACTGTTCCATCTTGAAAGAAATGGCAGCCTACACCTTTTGTCTCTATCCCTCTCATTCTCTTAGTCTCAGAATTAAAATATATCTTTCTTTTGAAGGTCTGCCATCCCCTGGCTTAGAACTCTGAGTATCCGAGACTGATGGTCCATTTCTACATATAATCAGGAACATGTGTTTTTCTTGCTGAAATTCTTATAACATGGAAAATTCAGTGTGCCTTGTACATTCTGCTCCCCTGGCTTGCACCATATTTTGGCTTTGTTTGAGTATACAAAAGCACTTATAAACACTTTCATATTATTTTGATAAAAATTGACTAAGCAACACCACATCCTAACATGACTGTGAGCAAATAAAAACCTCAGGGGAGATATCGCTTAATCTTCAAATAGTTTACCCCGAACTTCAAGACCTGCTTTCTTTCCCTTTGTTTGCTTGTTTTTAGTGTAAGCCGCTTGCGTCTTTTAATTTTTTTTCCAAAACACAGAGTGTTTATTTGAGCTCCATCTGTTCAAAATTAGGTGATGTTAATTCAGGAAAACAATCATGAGTCAACGTGACTTTGCAATGTGCTCTGATATATTTGGTGCCTTCCAAACCAATGGCTAAAGAACTAGATTGACTGGTGTCTTCTTAAAAATACCATCACACCACATTGTCATAAATAGCTGTTCCAGCTATTGAATACTTCACCCTGGGTTTGTAAAGGGAGGGACAAGACCTGTGAGTGTTACTCATGTAATTGATAAGAAGGGAAGGTGTTCTGCAGTCCAGATCGGGAGGAAGCAGCCTAGGGTGACATCACTGTTCCTGCATAGATACAGTACAGTGAGTGAGTGTTGCCACCCCAAACCATGAAGTGTATTACTGGCAGGATCGATCACTATGTCAGATATAAAGGAAAAAATCTACCTGCAATGCACAAGTGTGAAGACATTTTTAGAGTTAGAGAAGTCAAGGCATCACAAGATGTAGTTCAGTAGAGAAACCCCCAGTATGTGCATTAAAAAAGTTTATAAATTGTGAGCACTGTAAAATTATATGTTACTGTCATTCAACTGTCAAAGGCCAGAACACTAGAAGGCAGTAAAGGTGTTGGTATTTCATTAATGAGTGTCAGGGGTAGGGATTCCCAACTTGGAAAGAAATGGAGACACTGTGTACAGTTTGGGCATATGATCCAAGGGGTTCCATAGACATATGGGTACTTACAGGCATCACAAGGTGCCTTCACGTCAGCCTTCTTATTGCTTCAGTCTCTTTTTAGGCCAGGTCATGTTCACTTTAATGCCCAGTCACAATGTATGGTACACATGGGATAGTTGCCTCAAAAGTCATGCCATAGAGCAATACACCTTGGACATCTTATTGTGCAGAACAGCATACCCACCACAGCTCGAACTGCAGCAAATTACATGCAGTACACCTCACACTGCAACATTACATACAACATTCAACACATATCACACTGCAAATCAATACCCACAGCAGAGATCCTCTTGCAGCCATCTTTCTCTAACTCAAACTAGCAAATGCTCTAATAGCTTAATTTTCCCAGCATTTCACTCACCAGTGAATGGTTTTTTCAGTGTACGGGAACTGCGGATCTGTTACTTTCAGCAGGAAAGGGTTATCTTTGTGTTAGCATTAAGCATCTTCCAGAAATGCAGTGAGGTCCTCACATCCTAACATCCTGTTGTGGGTTGATTACTACACCTTCACTGCTCGGAGTTCTCCCTTCTGGGCTACAAATGCTCACATCAGCATGTCCAAACTTGCTCCACTCCCATACCAGCTGTCTTCTGTCTCTTTTTGTTAAATCTTAAAGTGTATGTCTTTGCAAAGTAAAAAAAAGACAAAACATATTAAGCATATCACTGTGATACATACACATTTCCCCATGTTTTAGCCCAGCATCAAAAACCACTTGCTAAAACTCTAGCAGTGGCAGGTGCTGGAACACTGCAAAGACTAAGAAGGACAGAAAATCCTCTTAAAGTGACACTAAACTCAGGAGTTGAATCCTAAAAATGCATTCAAGTACTTTAACTATTAACAAAAATGTATCTTATTTGTCTATCACTCAGCTGTAGATCCTCAAATCATCAGCCACCACTCCAAGCTCCCTCCTGTGGTGGACTACAATCCCAATACAAAGTAGTAAACTAAACGTGAGATTGTAGTCAATCACTAGAGCGAGCTTAGAGCAGTAGCTACTTG